GACGATAGGATCAATGATAAAATAAGTTGTCACACACTCCATGGAAACTTTCAGATAATCCACAAATAGTGGCTTTCAAATGGTTTTGTTACTTTTTGCAAGTTTAGAAAAGAAGCTGATGAGACAGCATGTCTGATAATTTAGTTTTTCATCTGATATATTAGAACATGTCAGTAATGTCTGAGGGGCTTTTACAAACACTGTATAACTAATACTCCTGGAGAGGGCATGAATTACACAGAGGCTTCTGGGGAGCCCAGTTATGGGGGGGGGGGGGGGGGGGCATTTTGCCTTGGCCCCCAAAATGTCTTGAAACGGCCCTGGGTGTGTGACTGAGTTTTGAAGGTGATCTGAATTGTATCAGATGTATAACTATGACATGTGTATAACTTATTGTTTTTTACTGGTAAAAACGTGTAGTGGAGATAAATCTACCTACATTTTACTTTGTTTTCTTGTTTTTATTTAACTATTTTCCTGTCCTGTCTGTCTCTCATCTTCCTGCATCTCCTCATAATTCTCCAGAAAATCTGTTGCCTGGATTCTTACTTTTTCACCTCATCAGTTACTTTTGAGCAGATCAAAGAGATCTCCTGACCGCAAAGCGGAGAGTGCGTTTTCGATGCTGCGTGAGGTGAAATCACCACAGCACAGGTGATGAGCTCCGCAGCAGAGCGCTTCAGGCACAAATAAGACAGAAAATAGAGAACATGTGCAGACAAGAACGATCGTGTGCTAATTATAGTTTTTTGGTTGCGCCACTTTGAGAATGGACCGTGCGCTGGAAGCAGCTGCCTGGATCGCTGTGCAACAATGCGGAACCGGTTCGCAGCAGCGCAAGTCTGCAGGCTCTCCCTCGCGCTGATCTGCGGCTCTCCCTCACGCTGATCTGCGGCTCTCCCTCGCGCTGATCTGCGGCTCTCCCTCGCGCTGATCTGACTTGCTCTGGTCTGCGCGCAACGGTGGGCGGGAGGGGGGGGGGGGGCGCTTTTGGAAGAGTTGTGCGACACAACGAATCGATGACGCAATTCGTTGCCAACGCTTTTAGTAATCGATTTTCATCGAATTCATCGATTCGTTGTTGCAGCCCTAGTGTGGAGTTTAACTTTCTTGGTTTACAGCAACTTGGTGCCACTAACAATCTGGAAAGATCCCACCAACAACAGGTCAAAATGTCCAGCACACCGAAGCTCCTCTGACTGACTTTCTCCAATCACACGGCTTTTCCCAAACACACATATGGGCTAGGTAAAGGACAGATAGCTCTGCCAGCCGACAGGACAGGCTGTGTTCACAGACAACTGGTCCCTCACCTAAAACGTTCCCAACAAGAAAAGAACCAAACTCGACCATGCGAAACAACTCTTGAATAAAAATTTTGAGACGCCAAAAAAAAAAAGGAAAAATTCTGCCGTAGGCAGCCCAGCTCTGGCTTTGTTTCCTGTTCAGCTACACCAAGCAGAAAATGTAGGATTTGCGCACATAGATGAGGTTTTTCCTGTAGTTTACGTTTCAGCTGTGATTAGAATTATTCCTTTTTGACAAAACAATATTTTTGTATTGCTTCCATTGGAATGTAAAAACTATTTCAACAAATACAGCTAAAATTCTTCAGAAAAACATCTACTACCTCATCTTTAAATGACCCCGATATGTATTTTCTTTTCTTTCCTTTAATTGTTGGAAGACTTACTGGTTAAAGAGCTAATTTGCGGCTCGGAAAGGTTAAACAAATTTATGAGATGGAAGAGTTCAAAGTGAAGGTGGCTGGATAATTAACCTCCACCTGGAACTAGCGAGCACTCATCTTCCCTCGTCTGAGGCTCCATTTCAGATCCCTCGTAGTGGTAACTCGGGGTGAGAGTCTTTGATGGAAAATATAGGTTAAACACACAGAGGAGCAGAACTTATTAGCGCTTCCCCACGGGAGGAGCGGATAGGATGCACTCCTGTTGCATAAGCAAGACGAGGGGGGAAGCGAGAAGGAGATCCTTTAATAATCCTGAAGGCACATCCTCAGTCTCTGTGTAACGAGGAGGCTCCAGTCAGCTTTAATGAAAAGACGGATTCTGACTAGGGATGCAACGATACCACTTTTTTCCAAACCGATACGATACCGATTAAGGATGTAAGAAAAGATCGATATGGCAATATATCGTGATATTTTTCCAGCAGTATTATATCGATATTCAAAAGCCGTGTATCGGAAATATCGATATGGCAATATATCGTGATATTTTTTCCTGCGATTATTACATTGATATTCAAAAGCCGTGTATCTAATCTTTGAAAGAATTTACATGCAAACATTTGTGTATTTTCTTTTCGTTTTGTGCTATTCAATCGCCACCCGCTAGTCGGCAGCAGTGTGCAACGGGTTTTATTTCCACCATTGAAATGTAAATCCCTCCATCATGGGTCCGATACCTCATGTTAAACATGTTACGTATCAGTTTGCACTGTTTATTGAACATTCTTACAATAAATTCAGTAAAAAAATTGCTTGTAACGTCTGACTGAATGTATTGCAATATATCGTGATATATCGTATCGTCTCCCCTGTATCGTGATATGTATCGTATCGCCAGAATTTCAACAATACACACCCCTGATACCGATACTTGGATCTGAATATTCGCCGATACCGATTACAGATACCGATACTTCTACCACACAAAAAAATGCTATGATTTGGAATACAGGTTTTATTTTCTTCTCTGCTTTCAACAGGAAAAGACTGTGAGGTAGATAAAAAGTAAAATATATGAATAGAAATCATCACAAAACTAAAATATTAGGTGAACAGAAATGACAAGTTACAGTTAAGTCATTTTCAAGCAACTGCATTGGTATTGCTTCCTGGTATCGGTTAACTTTTACCGGTTAATTCTGACTCGCTACAAGCTGCAGGACAGACACATTAATACCCGTATTCCTGATTCTGACTGGAAACCAGCTCTCATTTTACGTCATTTATGTCTTTTTACACTTCACAATTTGTTTATTTCAAGGAAATTCAGAAGCAAATTAGTTTATTTATTTATTTATTTTAGCAAATCCTGTTTAAACAAATAACCTTTTATGTTTAAAATAAAATCATTATTTATATATAAAATTAAATGTTTCAGATCAACAAACAAATATTGATGCCTTAGCCAAGCTGCAGCAGGGTTTTTTTCACCCCCCTAACATGGAATTATTGCGTTTTCAGTGATTTTACTGGCAGTAATCAGGCCCGCTATGGTGAACTGAACACTGGTTTATTTTTCTTTAAATAATCACACTCTTGATTTAAAAGTAGCGTTTTGTATTTGGTTATTTTTGTCTGATTTGTGATATCAAGCATCTGAGTGACAAGGCAAAAACAAGACATCTGTGAGGAGTCACTGGATTTGTGAGACAACTCCTGTTTTATTCTCAGTGAGGCTCAACTGTAGCAAACCATAATAATGAATTAAAGTCGAGTTTTAGACGTACAGCAATGCTACAACTCTTCCATAAACACAGAATGGCAGCGTTTAACCATTAATAAAGACATTAGTAATAAATTTTCCCAATCAACTAATTAGATTTTGTTTTGCAACAGATTTTTGTCTTTCGAACATTTTTACTGCGGAACTGATTCTGATTTACTCAGAATATTTTGTAAAGATGTGAGATGAGGGGAAAAACCTCTTATTAATGTCTTTTAAATCTAATATTTAAAGGGACTTTACGGAGTTTTGAATTTTTATGCTCGTGATTGCCCCCTCAGGCCAAAAGCGTAACGGCAGCTTCAGTAGTAGGCTCATGCACGAGGCGCGCATGCTGTACGTGCACACTCCTTAACGAAAATAACAGCTGAGACAGTCCCGTGTGTGTGTGTGTGTGTGTGTGTGTGTGTGTGTGTGTGTGTGTGTGTGGCCCGGGGGCCAGAGGACAGGAGAACGCGCAGCTAATTAATTAAATAATTAGGTTCTGTACCTTTCTCTTCAGCACAGCCAACAAAGGTTTATGATGGGTCAGTCCTCCTGCATGCTCAGATCATTCCCTTCTCTTGCTTGAAAAATTGTTCCAAAATGAAAGTTGAACCCACATCTTTTTTATCTGTGAATTCAACGCCGTTCGGTGAGTCTCAAATAAAAATTTGGGCATCTTACTGTAAAAAAATATACCATTAATGTAAAAAAGAAACTCTAAATGAACTATGTTCACATCCAGAATAGAACCTGGGTCTTCCACACGGGAGTCCGCCGTCTTACTGAGTGAGCAATAGCACGAGTGACGTAGTTTGTATCTGTATCAGCTGAAACAACGTCCAAAGAACGGTTCGGAGCGAAAATGGCTATTTTGTTGCTAATTTGCAGGAAATATCTAGAGGAAAGTAGCTAAGGGTCCTCAGAAATGTAGCTAGCTTTGTCACTAGGCGTTAGGAACAGCAACAAAGTGGCACTGCCTCTCTCTCTGCTGCTAAAGCTACGGATAGCAAATGCTACGGGCGATGCCTGAGCGTGAACGCGCATGAAGCAGCCTGCTCGACCCGAGCATCTCTCTTTTTCTGTGATTTTACAGAAAAACAGGCAATCACAGTAAAAATGCCAGGGCTCATTCTACAGGACCAGGGCATTGCAGGAGAATGCATGAAGAAGACATTTATTATTTCTACACGTTTTGGCTGTCAAACTTCCATAATGCCCCTTTAATGAAAACATTTTAGCAGTTGTAATTACTTTTACCAGGCTGCTCTTTTCTTCCCCGCTATAGCTTACAGTAAACTCATTACCTCGTGTCAGATGAACCCACCAACCCAGATAGCAGCCGTTCCTTAGAAATCCCAGGGGCGTTATTATTTCATTCGTGTATTAGCTCATGCTCTCCTTTTACCAAGCCGTAACTGGAAAAGCTTTTGGTATCGGCGTTAGGAGAATCCCTTCGTTTTCTAGATGCTTTTGTAGCTCCGAGCAGACCGGCTACCAGAACCTCCACAACCACACCCAGTAAAAGTCCAGAACACCCAGCAGGAGCTTTGCTTCCACAAAATAGTTTTATTGGTAAAAAATAGAACTACTTGCACAAGCACATTGAGACAACTGTATCAGAACTTGTGAACTGCTCATCATCACTAATATGCTCTGGCAAAGTAAGAAGTGCTAAAAGCATTCACAAAAATAAGCTGCAGTAGTCAAAATAATAAACAACATCTCGGTACAGTTTATGCAGGAGAGTTGTAACTCTCTAGATCTTTTAGCCCAAGTCGCATTGCACTCTGGCCACTTGTAAGCAAATAAAACTGCGTACTGAGGATTAAGCTGCACAGCAACAAAGAATAGGACTCTCTAGCCGGCGGTTCCTGCTGAATCCCGTCAGACAGAAAATGCTCCATTTTTTTTGTCCAGAGTGCCGCTTGTTATGTGTTCCTATTGGTCCAGAGAGCAGGAAGTGCTCGGTTAGTTAAGCCAAAACTGCTGTTAGGTCGTAACACAAAGTAAAAGTGCACTGAGTAGACTTCTTATAAAGAAGATATGGTATGAATACGGTGTAGCTGTACTGAAACAGTCTGAAGGACTATTGATCCCTCAGTGGAAACAAATCTTCCTAAAATCCTAGATGCTTGTGTACGTACACACACACACACTGTGAAGCGGATTTCCTGGCAAACATGTCTTTTAGAAGCTTACACACACACACACACACCTACCTGCCGTGTGAAACTCTCGTACCCAGTGAAGTCTAGCTGTGCTTTGGGGAATGAGATAGAGAATTTAAAAAGCAACCCTCGAAAGCCACACAGGACTGTACACAAGCATCTAGTTGATTTAGTTTGGCAGAACAAATCATTTTCAAATGCATAATTCATGTATAAACAACTTAATAAAAAAATAAACCAAAAAAGTTACAGACAACATTAAAACCTGTCATCGTGACACAATTTGGCACATTCTCTAAAACACATCCTGTGTTATTAGCTGATGACATGGCACATTCTTTACTTTGTTTTTATTGCATTAATCGGTTATGTCGCCTGGGCAGGGGGTTACTGTCAGGAGGCCGAGTCAGGTCTGAGCTGAGCAGGGTGCGGCGGGAACCTGGCCCCCACCGGGCTGCCGAGAACCTCCAGCGGGGCCCACAGAGGAGCCTGTGGTGTGCTGGCAGCAGCCTGCAGGTGGCGGTCTGAGCTCAGCCATCTGCTCTTCCCCAGGAAGCTGCAGGTTTAATAGAGAGGAGGAGAGAATGTGCAGTTCTATATATCCCAGCCTGATCCTCCCCTCAGAGTAACACACACACACACACACACACACACACACACACAGCCATGCAGCTGACACATGAGTAGTTGGGGGTGGGGAGGGGGGGTTGTGCATTTCAGGAGGACATGCTTTCAACATGCATCAGTGTTCTCCCCTCAGAGATCACATCCATGTGACGTCGTGACACCGACGGGGCGGGAGGGGAGGGGCGAGTTAGGACGACTGGTAAGATAGTCAAGTGGATGCAATTTAAGACACTGAGACCTTCTGCAGGTGGGGACTGGCAGCATACGCGTGCTGCTGACGCACTTGGAAAACAAGTCACATATGGAGAATGACTCAAACCTTTTTTAGAAGCTGGCTACACGGCTGGCTTTCAGCTCCACTCGAGAAGCTTCTCATCTTCTGCCCCGGTGCCACGGCACTATTAAATATCTGTACATCCATGTGGGAATGCTTCCAGGGACGAGACGAAGGTCTCCAAAACCGCAGAACAAATGGTATTTTTATAAATACCCACCTAATAAATGGGATTAGTGTGAGCAGAGGCCTTTGCACGCCATGGCAAGAGGGAAAAGATGCCTCCTTTTCAACTTCTGTGACTGACATGCAGATACCACCCCCCCACCCCTCCAGACAATAAAAGACATTCAGATAGTGCGTTTAGTTTCCATGGCAGTGCAGAGGCGAATGACGGGAGAGAAGAGCGGCTACTGTGTACATAAAAGACACACTTTGACGGGTAGGTGTGTGTGTTTGGGACGGATTGTGATGGGTGGACGCTACCTACACACAGGTTGTCAGGACAGGAACACTAAAAACGATTGTCCCACAATCTCATCCAGACAATTTCTCTCCATCTCTCTCTTATTTCCACCTGCAGGCGACAACATGCCCGCGTTTTCGGTTAAATCCAGCCCACTCCTCCTCCTGACAGTCCTCTTTGAACAGTTAGAGCAGGGTAATGTTTCTACAGCTTTTCAGGCACAGGCATTGTGTGGTTCAGTCTTCTACCAGGCATTCCACTGTATCTACACGCAGACAGGCTCCACGCGGCATGCTTTAGAGGCAAAATATCGACATCCTTCTAGCAGCTAGCAAAAATACGACCGTCTATTTCAGTCAGTTCCGGGTTGCTTTCTAAAAACTTACAACTATTCTTTTATTCTGCATTTCTATTGCCTAGTTTTGTCAAATGGGATACTAACGATTGTAAATAGCAGCTAAATGATTGCTTGTTTGCCCTCGGTTCAAACCTTTGGTGAGGGCAAAATAAATAAAAAATAAATTCTACATGGAAGGCTTCCTTATTTGCTTAATCCATTCCCTGGGGAGCGCTTATTGTGATTTACTGGTGAAGGCTGCATTTGTTTGGGGCTTCCTTCGTTTCTGCAGCAGCTCCATACAAACTCTCGCCGTTTGTTCCAAGGCGCTGCTTAGGGAATACCTCCACCGCTTGTGCTTGCAAAACAGGAGGGGAAAGGAGGCGAGCAAGATGGAAACGAAGGAGAAATTAATTCAAAGTTGTTGCCCTCCTCTCTCTCCTGTTCTCCACCTCAGTCTGAAGTAAAATCCAGCACGTAGCGTGAGCTGTGATGGTTTCCCCTTAGGCTCGTCTTCCTTTAGCCGATGGCTGCGTACACAGCGGTGCTTTATTATACATAGTCCTGCAGGCTGTAGCCAGTCTTATTGTCTAACGGGGAGAGGGAGCAGTACTGGTGCTGGAGCTCCTGCTGCTGCTGGAGCAGCTGTTGCTGCTGCTGCTGGAGCAGTAATTTATCAGGATGTGGGAGCAGGATCAGGTCCTGCGGACCGTGCCGCTTCCCCGAACAGGACATACAGAAGATGGACCCTCCAACAAATAGGAAACCCGCCGAAACAAAGGCCACGTACACAGCGCCCCCAGGCTCAAACTTATTGCTCTCGGGCACACTGGAGTCCAGGAAGTTGGTGATGACCTCGTTGGTGAACCACGAAGCAGGCACCAGACACAGAAAACCCGCAGCAACAAAGCAGCCACCGCTGGCGATGGCGGCATGCCGCTTGGAGCGTCGTCCGCCTCCCCAGCGTGTACACTTTAGTCCCAGGGATGCCAGGCAGAGACCCATGGCAGCTAGAACGCAGCACAGCACCATGGTGGTGCGAGCAGTCTGCAAGTAGGCAGGAAGTGAGAGCACCGAATACTTAAGTGTGCAGCTGAACATGCCGGTGCTGTACCAGTTGCAGTCCATCCACAACCCCTGCATTTGGGAGATCACCGTGATGATGTTAGAACCCACATCCGCTCTGACCTTCCAGTTGGGCAGCAGGGTGGCCACCGTGGCACCCAAGATGCCCAGAAGCGCCAGGACAAATCCAAATATCTGCATGCCAGTAGATGCCATGCTGCTTGTCAGGCTTGTGCCTCCGCTGCCTCAGCCACTGTCCTCTTCACGCAGCATTCACCCAGCGCCAGCCGGGCTCGTCGACCCCTCTGCCCCGATGCCTTCCTCTTCTCCTTTGGTGGTGCACCAGCTGCCAGTTAGATCCCCCAGTATTTCAGCTGCGGCTCCGCTGGACTGAAGGAGAGAGACCAAAATGAGAAACTGAAACGAGCACGTCTCCTTGCACTCCCTTCCTCTTCCTCATCTTATTCACCTCACACTTTTTTATTCTGGCTGGAAACAAAGGACAGCATGCGGCAGCAGGAGCTGCTGACTGTGGGTAAACAACAGGGACGGCTGTGCACCTTCTTCCTCTCATCTGAGCTAAGTAGAGTTGTTATGAGTGAGAAATTAGTTTAGATTAGCAATCCTCAAATAGATAATGTGGATTTAAAGCTGCAGTGTCCACAAAAAGCCTAGAAACGATCCAAAATGAACAGTTTTCATGTAAAATAAAACAATAATGAAAGTTTGAGGGCTTTATGCTGGAAAAAAATGGTGTCTGCTACTTCTGAGTCGAGGCTTTCTGGTGTTTATCTTTTTATCTGGAAAACAGCGATTTCTTAACAAATAATCTCTTACCGCGGCTGGTGCAGAGCTGGAGCCGACGAGTCACGTTGTTCCGGGTAATTCCAGTAAACACGGCGGGCTGGTAGCGAGGGGGCGAGGGGCACTGCTCTCCCCGGACCGCGGGTTCATTCAACACATCCATTTCCTTGGTAACAAGCGCCGGAGAGACCACACAGGCTCGGCCGGAGCCTGGGAGAAAGTAACCGGAGCGCCTTCTCCCCTCTTCTCCCTCCCCTCATCGCTCGGCTTCTCCTCCCTCTCCTCCTCGTGCGTACGTGTGTGTGTGTGTGGTGGCGCGTGCGCGTTCTGACTCGCAACTTCCGACAAAGCAACCTAATCTGTACAAGCAGCGCGCGAGCCCGTGCTTGTTAAAGCTGGTTAACATTTGTATTGATGTAGGCAAATATCCGCCCGGTGTTCTGTCGAGATGTGTTGCCCCTGAAAACGGTCTCCCCACTTGACTCGACGCCCAGCCTTCAGGATGTGTTCAGCTAAAATCTACAAAACATTGAAGCAGAGGAACTAGGAATACTTTTGTTTTTGCAGAAGTCGCCTGTACCACATTAACCAACTCAAGTTAAACACATCAGCTACAGTCATTTGTTGAGTTTAGTAGTAAAATAGTCTCGGAAAGATCCTTATTCAACAGGTGATCCAGTCTGTGACTCACCCAAAACAATTTATTTAAATAGACAAAAAAAAATTACACACGATTAAAACAGCCAGGGGTGGTTCTATGGTGGGTCCAGGGTGGGCTAGCTTGGACCCCCGTGTCTCATCAGTGGCGGTTTTACCATTAGGCGTAGGTCGACGGCCGCCTGGGGCCCCCAACTCTGACCGCCGGCGCCCATCTGTCAATGCCACAATGGACTATTCCTTCAAGACGCTGATGCACAAACAGGAACCGATTGGTAGTCATTCCACTCCAATCCAGTTGGTGGCAATAATGGACCAAATTGTTGTTTGCCAAGTGCCATAAGACCACAAATAAGAAGAAAAAAAGCAGAAGAATAAGAAGATAGGCGGGGTGGGGTGGGGGGGGGGGGGGTGTGTCGGCGATATGGCCTCAAATCTATATTGCGATATAATCTGAAGAATGTGCTGTAACGATATATATTGCGATATATTTTTTCCTCTGTTTATATATGTCAAAATGACATGCTTTTTAATATCCTCATGTGGCAAATATATGCCACTTGAGGCATATAGGCCTCCTCCTCCGCCCACTCCATGCTTGCAGTCACTGCCATTCTGTTGCCCCAATGTCAGCAGGGTGCACATCTTAGTGACGTCATGTGTTATCGCGATATCGTGGTATTGCGATATAGCCGAAAACTATATTACCCAATTTTATATTGTTTCTACCTTATATAGTTTATATTGCCCACCCCTAGCGGTAACGTTCATAACAAACTCGAAGCAGTAGTCAAAACATTAACCCTCTGGGGGTCCAGGGTGCAATTTGCCGTTTTTGACTAATTTAGAGTTTTCCTTTGTATTTCCAAACTAAAAACCATAACCACTGCCTTATGTGGTATCAATCTTTTCAGCACAACCTGGACTTTATGAATTTATACTTATTTTTATATGTGGACATAAAGGGGTTGCATATTAGACCTTAAATCACTCAAAAACATAAAATCAGAATTGGAAAAAAGTTGTTTATTTTACTGTGAAACCAACGAACATTTATGACGAATGTTTTTTATAATTTAGAATGGTAATCTAGACTGTACATTTATAAAAATATGACTAAATATAGCAAATAACTAATTTAAAAAAATTATTAGCCCTCTGGGGTCCAGGGTGTGAATCACGGTTTTTGACTCATTTTGGTTTTTCTTTTGTATTTTCTAATAAAAACAATAAATATTGCCTTATGGGGTATCATTTTTTCAGGACAACCTGGACTACCTGAATTTATACTTATTTTATTAATTTGGCAATAATATACATGCATTTTGGAGTGGGGAGTGGCTCTGTCTCATGCCGCGGAGTCGAGATCTGACAGCTGTGCGGCGCCGCCCACTCCTCTTGTTGGATCTCCGAGGAGCTGCATCTCTGCCTTCATCCTCTACCTCATCATGACCCAACTCTTCTATGAGGACGGATGGATCTGCCACATCCTCATCAACATCCTCGCTATTTGCCTCAGACTCCGGCTGTGAGTCTCCGTCCACTTCCTCTGCTTCCAGTTCAAAAAACAGCCGTACTATCTGAACTGCCTGGTGGACATTTATCCTTCTCATCATCCTTTATATAAGCCTAATAGACGCCTACTAAACTGCAGAGACAATATATCTGTCCGTGTCGCTCCAAAATATGAAGTTTACCGTCAATATCTGTCTAATTGTTTGTTGTTACTCCGTTCGCGCCACTCCTCTCCCCGTGAAGCGGCTCCTTTTTGCGCACATCTCGTTACTCGTTCGGCCTTCCTCGCTCTCTCTCAGCTACATAATGATGCTTTTTATCAGCTGAATATGTGAGACTTCCACCGACAGCAAAAGGATCTCATGTTTTTGTGGGTTTTTTATGTTCACAAGCACATTCCCTCTCACGGATTACTAAACTGCTGTTTTGACAAGTTGTCAGATTGTCTAAAAATAGGTCATTGTTTAGTTTAGTATAACTCCGCTTTTACGTTGCCTATTAACACAATTTAAAAACTGGGGTGTAGTTTATAATCTCCTTTTTAAAGCTGAATTGAAACCGAAACTCAGGGAGGCGGAGTCTTGCTGCTACAGCGTCCCAAATCAGACCTGATCTAAAGACGCAGATACGCGTCCATGGACCCCAGAGGGTTAAGCATGAAATGGAGTTATCCTAGTGGCTCCAATAAGAGAAGGAAGCAGCTTGCTTCAAAAAAGCTTTTATCTTCACTTCCAAAAGTGACATCGTTTTCTATGTAAACATCAAAAGGAAGCAAAAAAGGAAAGACAATGGAAAATGTTTAAAGGGAGGAAAACATGGACATGGCACATATGCAGACTGTTGTAATTCCTACACCGTTCACCTGATTTGGATGTAAATACCCTCAAATAAAAGCTGACAGTCTGCAGTTAAAGCACATCTCGTTCGTTTCATTTGATGTCCATTGTGGTGATATATAGAGCCAAAAATGTTAACATTGTGTCAATGTCCCAATATTCATGGACCTGACTGTAAATATAAATAAAATTTAAAAAATATCAAACACAGTTTTAAACACAACCCTGATTAAAAAGCTGTTGGTTATGAAGTTGTCTTTTCAGCCTTTGACCAACAAAACAACAGCAGCAGACCTCAACCATCATCTGTTGGAGGAAACAAACGTGGCTAATAAGCCAAT